CGTCCGGGAGCCGGCGCCGTGCCCTCGGGCGTCGCCCCTGCACGGTGGCGGGACTCGCAGGGCTTCCGACCGCCGCTAACACCGCCAGGGGGCCTGGACTCTGCACCGGCAAGCCACACCCCCGGAAACATGGCCTCGAGCGTCCGAGTTCCGGCCAGAGTTCAATCCTGGCCGGGCTCCTCTAGAAGTAAACGCCCGACTTTTCCAGTCAATCCAAAATTCAGAAAAGCCTCAAAGCAGACGCTTACGACGCAGTTATCTCAGCCTTCACAAAACATCTCCGATTTGGTCTTGCTTTGAATTTTGCATCTCTACAAAATGCCAAAATCCGCCTTCCGATGTTTCCTTGAAATTTGAAACCACAAAGCAAAATTAAGACCAGTCTGCCTACTTGGATGCTTTTTTATTCCTCCCAAAGTGCTGAGATTACAGGCGTGAGCCACCATGGCCGGCCTTAGGTGCTTTTTAAAAAGAATGTGTCCCGCGCTTTGGGAGGCCGAGGTGAGTGGATTGCCTGAGCCCCCGGGGTTCGAGACCCGCCTGGGCCACTTGGCGAGACCTCATCCCTACAATAAATCAAAAATGAGCCGGGCGTGGTAGCGCGCACCTGTAGTTCCAGCTCCTGGGAAGGCTGAGGCGGGAGGATCGCCGGAGCCCAGCAGGTCGAGGCTGCGGTGGCCGGGAGCGGCCGCTGCACTCCAGTCTGGGCGACAGAGCGAGACTCCAACTCAAAATAAATAAAAAGAATCTGGAAGCAATAGCAACACTCCAGATGAGGTCAGGAACTAATGGCCCCATTTTCACAAAGGGGTGAACTCGGTAGAGAATGAGTCGGTGACAGAATTAAAAGTAGACTCCATAGTTACAGGGCCATCAGGCCCATCATAAGTCACACCAACATTCAAAAGTAGAGTTGTTTACCTAATAATAGCAGTAGCAGCCAACAACATCTAAAGTGCTTCACAGCCACCCTGTAGAAGCAGGGATTGCCAAGTCCACCTCACCGACAGGGAGGCGGGCACAGGAAGGCTGAGCGAGCGGCCCAAGTGCGGCGCCGGCCGACGGCGGAGGCGGAGGCGGGACGCCAGCCCAGGCAGGTGGTCCATGCTCTTCCCACTACCCTGTGCGGCCCCACTAGCGAGGGAAGCGCTGGGCTCCAGCCTTAGCTGCTCCGTCGGGCAGCCCGTGTCAAGGTGGGCCTGCCGCTTCTCCCTGGGGCCTTGCTTTCCCCGCTGGTGAAAACGGAGACTGCACGCGCTCCGTCAACCTCTCGGGATTTCTGAGGATTCAAGGGTGTGGAAATTCCTGGAAAGGCATTCTTACATGGTTACACTTTCTCCGTGCTGTCAAGGTTCTTCAGGCTACTCGTCGCCTTGTCGGCCGCATTTTAAGGCTCACGCTCCAAGAAATGAAGCGCAACCCCGCTTTCTCGGAGACTCTGCGCACCGTAAAGAGCAAGAGGAAGGAAACCGCCAGCC